TTATAGATAACGATATCTATAACTTTAATAAGACTAGCTTTATAATAGGTAAGATTTTATTATAGTTAGTTATTATAGGCTTAGAGAGTTCTAGTAAAAAGAAGTATATATAGCTANGTAACTATANGTAGGTTACTATAATCTAAGGCGTAGGCACGTTAGGTCGCTAGATACCTCTCTTTATTATCTTTATAGGTAAGGTGCTTATTAACGTCTAGTTTAAAAACCTGCCTACTAACTAGGTACTTAAAGTTAGTCTTAATAGCTAGATAAATAATTAGCTTACTCTTACCTAGTTATAGTATTTTAATACTTATATAAAGAGCTATACTATAGATAGATATTAATTACTTATTATTAATGGCTATAAGAGCTATAGCTTTATTAAATTTTAAGATCTTTATAAGAAGAAGAATATTATTCTTCTCTATATACTCTTATACTTATCTTACCTATTATAGCCTCTTAATATTACCTATTTCTTACCTTTAAAGCGTAAGTATAGTAATATAATCTTAAGCTTAGTATATAACTATACTAGCTATATTAGTAAGAAGACCTTTCTACTAGCCTTTAAGACTACTTTTAAGCAGTCTATTATACGGGAAAATATCTAGGTAGGCTTTAAAGGCGCTAGTCTAGTTCTATATAACCTATAGGCTATACTATTAAAGCTTAATATAGTAGTATAGATACTATTACTATTACTATAATAGGTAGCTACTTAGAAGGCGTAAACGCTACGCAACGCGCGCGAAATTAAGTCTTAAATTAGTCTTATCTAAGAGAGCGTAAGAAAACGCTATAGGTCTTCTACTAATTTACTTACTAAGTAGATTACATAGTTAAGTAAGAGAGCTTAGTAAATAGTATATAAGATAACGCTTATAATAGAGGAAATAAGTACTCTTTAAGCGGCTCTAGATAAATTAAATAAGCGTAAGAGCCGTAAGCAATAATATATCTAGATAGAAGAGACTCTTACTACTAGTAAGGTATAGAGCTTATTAGCTAAATAGATAGNTAGTAGTTATAGTAATAGTAAGAGTGCGTTGAATAGAGTGCGAGGAGAGAGGTGGTGCGGGCGTTATAAGGAGACTAGGTATAACGCGCGCACCTATATAGTAGAAATTAATAGTGCTAGTAAGAGCGATAGATCTAAAGAGTAAATTAGCTTATTACGATTTTTAATATACTATATTATATAGCTATAATAATATTACGAAGTTAACGCGCTAGTGTAAAGTAGCTGACTCGCTTAGGTAGCTAACTCGCTTATAAACTACGTTATATAAAGTAGAATAATATTCTTCTTTTACTAAAGATTTTTAACTTTAATCGAGATATAGCTTTTATAGCTATTAATATTTAGTAATTAATTTCTACTTATAGTATAGCTCTTTGTATAGATATTAAAGTTCTCTAACTAAGTAAGAGTAACCTAATTTTTAATCTAGCTATTTAAACTAACTTTATATATTTACTTAGTAGATAGATTTTTAAACTAGATATTAATAAGCACCTTACTTATAGAAATAATAAAGAGAGGTATTTAGTAATCTAATACGTCTTTACTATCAATTATAGTAATTTATTATAGTTACTTAGCTATATATACTTCTTTTTACTAGAACTCTTTAAGCTTATAATAAATAAATATAATTAAATCTTACTTATTATAAATCTTATAATATTTAAGTTCTAGATACTATTATTTATAATACTCTATTGTTTCTTTTTTCTCTTAACTAGATTAAACTAGTACTTAATAGTAGGTAGATTCTTATAGATAGCTTACTAGAAATTATAGAGATTACTCTACCGCGTATAGAGCTCTAAAGTTCTCTTAATAAAGTTATTAATCTAATTTTTATTAATAGAGTTACTTCTATGCTTATATAATAGTTTATTAGCTATTACTTAAGTATTAGCTTTTATAGATAAAAATTCTTTTTTAGACTCTTTAAGAATATACCTAACTAATACCTTCTCTTCTAATTTATCTAAGTACTTTAAATTTTGCTTATAGTTACGTTAAAGGCGTCTTCTAGCGCGTTATTCTTATATTATTATTTAAGAAGTACTATAGATAGTAGAAGTATATCTCTTACTTTTAATATAGTAGAACTTAATATTAAAAATAGTAAGTTATATATTCGCTTTAGTATAACTTTATTAAGCTATCTATTATTAGAGTATCGCGCGTTTTTATTGCGTAGTAAACGCGTAAGTAGAGAGTAGCTAACCTACTAAGGTAGCTATTCTACTTATAAACTATATTATTACTTAATTCTATATTAGTTAATTTATTAAGATAAGAAAGTTAATAATAAATTATCTAAAATTATAGATAGCTTTATATAGTAATAAAAGACTATTATTTTATAAGTTTATTACTTATATAAGAGGTTCTAGATAGTACTAGTATATTAATCTCTCTATTATTATATCTTTATATCTACTACATCTGCTATATCCGCTGCATCTGCTGTATCTGCTGTTTTCACCGTATTCACCGTATACACCGTATACACCGTATATAACGTATATATCTTAACCTTATTCACTTAGATAAAATGTTTACTAATTCTGCTTCCGCTTACATCCGGTTAAGCTAAGGAAGTATTAGACCTAATTCGAAATGCCGCGGGATATATATGGATGTATTTAGAGAACGGACATATATAAAGAGTTAAGAAGAGACATACTTTAATTAGTATAAATAATTATTTCAATCTTAAGAAAGAACTTATCTGCCTTCGACTCAATCCGGCTCTAAATTCTAACTACCCGATTACTCAACTACTAGTATCCAATTCGTTCATTAACATCTTTACTATGCCTATAAATTATATGGAAATGGCCCGTAACGAGATGTGGGACTGGAAGACTCTCCCTTCTCTTACTGGAAAAGTTGCTTTGGTCACGGGAGCCAATGCTCCCGAGAGCGTTGGATGGCATGTTGCCTATCAACTCGCCCTTCTCAACGCCAAAGTCTTCGTAGGGGCCCGAAACCTCGTTAAAGCCGAATCCGGTATCCAAAAGATGCTGGAAATCTTACCTAACGTTAACGCATCTAATCTATCTCCCTTCGTTGCTGATCTCGGGAACTTCAAAGAAGTAGAAAAGGCCGCCAAAGCTTTCATCGCTCAAGAAGAAAGACTAGATATCCTAATCAACAACGCAGCAGCCCTCTCGAGGCCGAACGACAAAGATGAAAACGGAATCAGTATAAGCTTCGGAACAAATCACCTGGGGCCATTCCTTCTAACAAAAACCCTGCTCCCTTTAATGATCGAAACAAGTCAACAGCCTAGGTCAGATGTTCGAATCATAAACTTGACTTCGACTTCTCACTACGAGGTCCCACCCACGGCCCGCTACCGCAATCTCACTGATTTCAACCAAGACTTTGGAAATCCTGATTCTCGCGAAACAAATCACATACGCTACGGCTACTCCAAATTAGCCAATATTCTCTTTACAAAGGAACTTCAAAGACGGTTGGATAATATAGAAGTGCCTATTTTGACAATAAGTGTAAATCCAGGGGGAGTAGGGACGGCTGGAGCGGCGAAGTCGATAGGTGGGAATGCGGAGGAGAAGTTCAAGAAGGCGGGGGCTTTGACGCCGTTCCAGGGTGCGATAACACCGCTTTTTGCGGCAGTGCATTCAGAGCCTAGAGAAGACATTGAGAGTTTCAAGGGGGCGTTTTTATTACCTTGGGGTGGGTTGAAGGAGCCAAGTGAGTTAGCCCAGGATGAGGTTTTAGCAAAAGAACTTTGGGAGACGAGTGAGAAGGTTTTGGAAAAGGTGTTAGTAGGTTAGGATATAATCCCTCTCGTACACGGGTAGGCTAGTAAATAGGTAGAGGTTAGGTTATAGTTATAAACAGTGAAATACTACTAGTTAACGGTTATATAAGTATAAGTTAAGAAAAACTTAAAAAAAAAACAATCTTTTTCTTCCTTATCTTATAGTGTTAAGCTTCACGATTAAGTATATACACTTTTATTATTACTAGTTATACGCTATTATTATAGAGGTATTAAAGTAAAAAGGCTAAGAATGTTATTATAAAGCGTAGATTGGTAAGATAAATAAGTATAACGCTAGGGCTAAAGTAGACTTTAGACTATACTAGTACTAGTTAGTTCTATAGACTTTAGAATATATTATATCTAGTAGATATTAATCTTATATTACTTAAAAGCTCTATTAGAATTAATACTTATAAAATTAAAAAGAGTTTAAATCTTAAGTCTATAAGACTACGCTTAAGAAGGTTATTATAGAATATATAGAATGTAATACTTAATATAATACTATACCTCTTACTACGTATCTATCTATATATAGATAAGCTCTTTAAGTAATTATTAAGCTTAGACTAGTAAATGGATTTCTATACTAATACTTTAAAACTAAAAGTAGTAATTATAAGTAAAATAAAGTATTCTCTTCTTTATAAATTATAGAATAACTAAATATCTATAAATCTCTACGTTGATTTAAATAATTATTATATAGCTTAAAGTATAATAATATTCTATCTTACTATTAGAGATCTAAGCTATTTAGCTAATCTCTAAAAGAATATATCTATTAATCTCTAATCTATATTAAAACGATACTAATCTCTAACCTAAGTTAAAATTACACTCTAATCTTAACAATCTAAACAATCTATTAATCTTTAATCTAATCTATCTATCTATTAGAAATAAGATTACGTAATCTATTACTAAGATAGATTCTTTTAGAATCTAGAGTAGCTAGTATATATAAAAGTATAATAACTAGTAGATAGAGAGTAGAGTAGATTATAATAATAAGATTAGACTACTAGATTAGATTAATCTAATTCTTATCTCTCTTCTCTAGTATTTTCTCTTTTCTATCTAGAATCTATTAACTAGCTGCCTCTAAGTCTACTAGAAATAAGTAGAAGAAAGAGACCTCTACTACTAAGTTCTATTAGAGTAATCAGCTACTTCTACGTACTTATTCTAACTCTTACTAATACTAGTAATTAGAAACAATAGAATATAAAGATATAGAAACACTATCTTAATTATTTAATCTACTCTAAATATATATATTAGTAGAACTAAAAGAAATATATTATTACGGCGCTATCTAACATAGCAGCGGACCAGCAGCTTCTAGGTGCCCAGCGAGGCTAGAATCCCCC